TATCTCTTATCTAGTAATCTCAATCTTCTTTATCTTTCTAGGATTACATTTGAAATTTAAATCTGATAAGACTCTTTATTCTTGAATTCGAGTTGGGCTTCTTTAATAAATTGGGCTGCTACAAGGCTTTTCTACAAATTGGGCTTCAGCTATGAACTGGGCTTCTCTACGAATTTGCTTCATCTTTGGGCCCGATTTTGACCTCAATGCAGACCGAATCTGTCAAAACCCAGAACATGAAAGTTGTGGAGTTCTCCCTTATCTTTCTGGTGCATCTTGAATCATCCCAATCGGAATCCAGATGTGAGAGTTATGCCCAGATTACTGAACGGTGCCGAAACTGTGCAAAATCATCCGATTAGCCTTGTTTCCCTCATGCTGCCTTCTTGCTTGCCCTGAATCGAAATACAAGAATAGTGAGTCCAATTAGGTACTAATTAAGTATAAAAGATTGAATATTGAGGGATAAAAATATGATAATTTTTATTCTTATCACACGTGTATGTCGTGAATGCCGACAGTGGGTACAGAACAACTTATCTTTATCATTAGTCTTCTTAGTGTCACTTTTCTTTCCCGTGAAGTTATTATTCATTGCAGCCAAAGCAACTTGCTGCTCCCCCTCAGCTGTAACCATTACATTCCGCCTGCTTTCTTCCGATTGAACAAGGGAGTATACCTCGTGAACCGTAGGCAACTCTTTGCTTCCTAGGATCTGTACCCTCAACGGTTCATATGCAGGGTTCAGTCCCAACAAGAAAGCAAACACACGTTGCTGAGAGACCAGCTTCCTGTAGGCCTTAGCATCATCATCATCATGTTTCCACTCTATAGCCTGATAATGATCCAATTCTTTCCATATGGAGATAAGGGCTGAATAATATGAAGACAAACTATAGTTTCCCTGTTTACATGTTGAGGATTCAGCTTGTAACTAGTAAACCTTGGCATAATGCCTTTGCTCAGAATAGGTAGTTCTGGCYTGTTCCCAGATATCACTAGCGGTGTCTGCCCACATAAAGTTCTTCACATCAAGTTCCATGGCTGCGAGGAGCAAAGACATCACCATATTGTTTTCTTGGTCCCACCTATCACGTTCATCCGTCTCACCCTTGGGTTCTTTCACCTTTCCATTAATGTAACCAGCTTTACCCCTTGCTGTTAGATAGAGTTTTACGCTCTTAGCCCACTCCAGGTAGTTCAGACCGTTTAAAGGGGTAATTGGCATGGGAACAACCATGTTTTCACCTCCCATATCCGCTGTGCTGCAGGTTGGTGTATCCCCCGATGAAGCTGATTCATAATTTGCCATCGGATACTACTGAAAAACAATCCAAACACCACCCAACTACACTGCAGCCACAATCAGAATACCAACCCTCAAGGAATTTACTTCTAGGATGTGAGCAAGAGAACAAAAAACACTATTGAAAACAACTCTGAGAAGGTTCAGTCAACACAACCAGTCATTAAACAAGCCCGGTAATCAGTTCAACACCACCAAGACAGACATTACTATCAGTCTGACTGTAGTTCATACAGTCTAACCATCAAACATCCAAACAAATACCTATATAACCAAGGAATGAGCCCTACACACCATCGGCCAAAGAAGACTGAAACAAAAAACACACCTGTTCAGCACTTGTATGAAGGTGCTAACCTGAACTTGACTTCACGGCATCGAACAGAGGAGGAAGGGAGTCTGTACCAGCATCGCCCTTCTCCGACTAGGGTTTTCTTGGTATTACAACCAAGGAAAAAAAAAACCACAGAAACTGCCGCCAGAAAACTGCTAGGGTTTCCACAGAAACTGCCGCCAGAAACTGCTAGGATTTCCACCAGAAATCTACTAGGGTTTCCCTATCTTCCACGTCCAAAACTTTTAAAGAAGGAGACCTTGCTCAAAACAGGAGGGATCGTAGGTCTTTTACAGCCCAGAAAACCTGCTCTGATACCATGTAATGATTTATGGAGAGTGGGAGAGAGAGAGAGAGAGAGAGAGAGAGAAAGAGAAGAAAAAGAGAGGTACGATTGAGAGAAAAAAGATGCTACTGGCTGTCGCCAGTCTTCTATTTATATTAACTTAATAAAGGAACAGAAATTACAAGTATGCCCCTGGCTGCACATCTTAGAACTAAAATAATAAGAAAAAAACAAGTAACTAACTGACAGTATCCTAAGAAGTCAGCCTACTAACAGCAGCTATAAAGTAACAATTAAATAAGCCTTACAACAGTGGCCAGGTACTTCATGAATCTCAAAATATCTTTCAACTGGGATCATCGTTTAAAAACAATAGGGAATATACTTTCAGTGGTTTGCTGAAGTCAAAGTTAGATCATGAGTGCTGCCCTGATTAGAACCTTCTGAGTCACCTCCCTTTTAACTGAAAGAGACAATCTTCTCATAATTGGTTGCCATCATTGAGATCACCTCCTTTAGATTTCTGAGGACCATATGCATCTCAGTCTTGATCTTGTCCATATTACCCTCGACTCCAGACAATAAAGTGTTCAGCATCTTCAACCACCGGAGCTTCCATTACTAGTGGATGAGCTTTGATACCAATTGGTGAGATACTACTTACCTCAAGGGTCCCTTCAAGGTAGACCCAACCTCCTGAAGGAATGAAAAGGGGGAAGGAGAAGAAGGGAAGAGGAAATTGGATAAAAAAACCCTTATGCCCCTGCCAATTCTTCTGTGTGCTATATATATTGTTTAAATGAATTAATGCTCACACAATACATGCTTAGCTCTTGATGTGCGGCTGACGGGCTTCCTAATGTAAATATACTTAACTGGAGGATGTGCATGCACTGAAGAGTTAGGTGCTTCATGGACTGCTTCCTGAGCATGGGCCTGAAGTTGATTGTGGCCCATATACTGATCCTGAGTCAAGCCTTGGGCCTGGATTCTATCATCTTATTACCCTTTTAGAGGCTAATTTTTCTCTGTTTTCTGAGACTGCAGTTTTCTTGATTATACTTAAGTGATGATAAGGAAGTGGTCTGCATTATAACCTATATATCATCTTCTTTCTATATTTAGGAGTTACCCCTTTATTCAAAAGTAATAGAGTTTTACCAGTTCACTTTTACCTGCTATAGCTTCCTTGAAATGAATGCCTTTATTTTAATACCTCCAATGATGAATATATATTACCTTTACTGTTCTTGCACTTCATCAGAAAAATATATAAAAATTAGTTTTCTTAATTTTTTGAATGAGGTATTAGTTTTGTGTTGTTTAATTATTCTTCCCACAAAATTTTGCATTGTCATTTGTATTTTGCCCCCTTCCAGTCATTGTGATCGAGAAACATAATTCTCTTCATTTGGGATTTTTTTGTTAATAAAAAGTGAATTCTTTTGAGATTTTATGGTCTTAGCTATGATGTTTTGATTTACATCCTTTGCTGGTTTTATTTTATTTTATTTTATTATTTTGGTGTATATGCTTGAGTTCTCCTTGCCTAATATGTCTTTTGACTTTGACGTGATTGAAAGGTTGCTTATGATAGTGGGGAAATTGAAATGTTGCACTTGGCCAATGAGAGTTGGGAGATAGTAAGCAATTCTCCATTGCATGAGAAGGTATGCTTAGGATAATCTGATTGTTTTTGAATATTTGCATTTGTCTTACAAGGGTATTTTATCAACACAGGAAAAGGACAAGTTTCATTTAAGGCATTGGTAAGCCAGCTAATACTCTTAATATTTTTTTGTTGTTTTTGATTGTCATGTTACTATATCTTGCCATCCTCGTGTTATTCTACTGGATGTTCTCCATGGAATTTGCTTACTGTTTGTATGGTGTTGAATCATCATCATCATCCAAGCCTTGTCCCAGCTATATGTGTTGGCTACATAAATCCTGTTTCACCATTCCATTCTGTTCAGTGCCATATCATTTGTTTGAATAATGGCCATGGTGTTTTGCAAAGGAAAGAGAAATAATGAGGAGAGAATTTACATACTAAAGTTAAATGGACAAATTCTGCTCCTGCTTGAATAAATTTCCGGCTTATTTCTAAGTGGTTAATTGTGTATGGAATAATGAAAATTATGATTATAAGTGATGTTTCCAACTTTCCATATGAAACTTGTGACGTAATTGAGTGTGGATTAGCTGAATGCAGATCGCTGTGGAGTGATAAAGTTCAGACTTGCACTAGATTTCTGTTAAAATTAGAGGAAGATTAGAGGAGATAGAGGAGAGAAGAAGAGAAGAAGGAAAGAAGAGAAGAAAAGGAAGGTGAAGAAGAAAACCGGTTCGAACAAGAGAGAAAAATACCTCTCTCTAGTCGGCCAGGTTATATTTATGTTTCTATTAGAATAAAACAAAAAGACTATTATGTCCCTACTTAAGTATGGGACACATCAGCTTAAATATAAATAGGACTAAATTACCCCTATGCAGTTGACACCAACACTCCCCCTCAAGATGGTGAGTATATATCATATAGTTCCAGCTTGTTACATATGTAGTCCATTCTTCCCCGACTTAATCATTTGGTGAATAAGTCTGCCCATTGACTTTTTGTGTTAACATATGCAGTATCTATCACTCCACTAAGCACCTTCTCTCTCACAAGGTGACAATCAACTTCTATATGCTTTGTTCTCTCATGAAACACTGGATTAAGAAGAGATGTGGACTGCAGATTGGTTGTCACAATAAAGCTTCATTGGAGTGTCAATGGAATATTCCATCTCCTATAGAAGACTCTTCAACCACACCAATTCACAAGTGGTATGTGCCATGGCTTTGTATTCAGCTTCTGCACTTCTTCTTGCCACAATTACCTGTTTCTTACTTTTCCATGTCACCAAATTACCCCCAAGAAAGGTCCAATAACTTGTAGTGGATCTTCTATCAGATATAGAACCAACCCAATCACCATCGGTGTATCCCTCTATTTCAAGATTTCCTCCACTCTTGTATATTATGCCACAACCAGGAGCTCCCTTCAAATACCTTACAATCCTTAGAACTGCATCACAATGTGGAACCTGAGGTTTCTACATAAACCGACTCACCACACTAACTGCAAATGAAATATCCAGTCAAGTAATGGTTAGGTAATTTAGCTTACCCACCAACTGCCTGTACCTTCTAGGATCCTCAAACTCCTCACCCATGTCACTACTCAACTTGGTATTTGGTTTCATAGGTGTTTCAGCCAGTTTGGCACCTAACAATCTTGTCTCTAACAAATCAAGAACATACTTCCTCTAGCATAAGTTAATACCATGCCTAGACCATGCTACTTCTATCCCCAAGAAGTATTTTAATTTACCAAGGTCTTTTGTTTGAAAGTGCTCTTGCAAAAAGGTCTTCAGCCTATCAATCCCCAATCTATCACTGTTGGTAATGACAATGTCATCTACATATACCACCAATAAAATCTTCCCAGCATGTGAATCATGGCTGAATATTGAGTGATCAGCCTGACACTGCTTCATACCAAACTTTATCATTTCAATGAATCTACCAAACCACGCATGGGGGGACTGTTTAAGTCCATAAATGGCCTTCTTTAGTCTACACACCTTACCATCCTCCTCCTAAGCAACAAACCTTGGTGGTTGTTCCATATAGACCTCCTCAAGAAGATCACCATGTAAAAAGGCAATCTTGATGTGAAGCTGAAATAGAGGCCATTCATACATAGCAGCTAGAGATATCATAACACGAACTGAACCAATTTTAGCAATAGGAGACAAGGTCTTTGTATAGTCAATACCATATGTTTGAGAGTATCCTTTGGCAACCAGTGTAGCTTTCAACTACTCTACACTACCATTAGGTAATTACTTAACAGTGTATACCCACTTACAACCTACAGCATGCTTACCAGGAGGAAGCGTGGTGAGATCCCACGTATGATTATGAGCTAAAGCAGAGAGTTCTTTCATTGCATGGCACCACCCTAGAGAGGCAAGGGCTTCTTGGACATCCATAGGGATAGAAATAGAAGGCAACAGAGAAACAAACTAGTGATGGGAAGCAGAAAGGTGAGAGACAGAAACATAATTAGAAATGGGATGAAGTGTGCAACCGCGTTTACCTTTCCGCAAGGTTATAGGAAGGTCATGGTCAAAAACAGGAGGTGGGGCTGCTGTGGTAACAACTGTAGGATCTTTCAACGATGACGAAGCTAGAGGAGTTGGTACATGTTGATGCATATACAGTTGACGGATGGGTGGCCGGCCATTCAACAGGAAGTTGCACCGGAGGCAAGAACTTAGTTACAACTGGAACAAGTGGAATGGAATCCTCAACAGGAACTAGAAGAGGAGGAGGTGAAGAAGAAGAAGGGACACCACCTGACCTAGAGAAAAAATAGAGTAGACTCAAAGAAAGTAACATCAGGACACACAAAGGAACGTCGAGAACTAGGGTTATAACACTTGTACCCTTTCTAGGTTCAGGAATAGCCAAGGAAGATACACTTAGTGGATCGTGCATCTAATTTGTCCATTCCAAGTCCAAGTCCAAGATTATGAACAAAGCATACACACCCGAAAACCTTGGGAGTAAGAGAAAATGGAGACAAGGTAGGGAACAAGGTGGTGAAAGGAGAATGACCTTCAAGGATAAGTGTGGGCATCCAGTTAATTAGGAAGCAAGATGTAAGAACATCACTCCAAAAATGTTTAGGTACATTCATATGGTGCATAAGGGACCGGGTAGTTTCCAAAAGATGACGGTTCTTTGTCTCAGCTACCCCATTCTATTGTAGGGTGTAGGTACATGAAGTCTGATGGATAATGTCATGTTGTTCCAAATACTCCTGAAACGGTGTATAAAAGTACTCTCAACCATTATCAGAACGAAGAATCTTAATGTGTACACCAAATTGGTTGCGAGTTTCAGCATGAAATTTTTGGAAGATGGATTCATTAGGTAAGGCTACGTCATCCTTGAATAATCATCAACAAAAATAACAAAGTATTTGTAGCCATTGTACGACATTATTCTATTTGGACCCCAAATATCTAAATGCACTAAAGAAAATGGCTCGACATACGATCATCAACCCTAGGACTAACAGGAACACGATAATGTTTCCCCAACTGACACAACTCACAATCTAGAACAGAAAGATGACTCAACGATAGAATAAGTGATGGATGACCAAGTCTATAGTGCCACTAAAGAGGAGAAAGGGATGTCTGAAGGGTTTTTGTCAAACCACCACCACCACCATCAAGATAATATAGTCCACCAGTTTCATGCCCTCCACCAATCTTCTTCCCCGCCTTGAGATCCTAAAAGACACAAGAAGAAGGGTAAAAGGTGATAGAGAAATTAAGAGACTTGGTTAGCTTACTAACAGACATATAATTAAAATGGAATTTGGGAACATACAGAACTGAGGACAGAGAAAAAGGGTCTATGTCAACATTACCAACACCACGAATGGAGGATGTGGAACCATTAGCAAGAGTAATAGACTATGATGTGGAGCACTATGAATGGGAAGAAAACACACCCGGAGTCCTAGTCATATGATCGGAAGCTCCAGAGTCGATAATCCAGGAGGTGGGTTTTGATGCCAGACAAGCCATACCTGAATCTGCAAGAGTAGCTATATTCTGTTGAGAGGTGGTCTGGATAAACCGCTCATACTCATTACCTGGGATATTTATCATCTCCTTCCCGGAGACATCTATAGATGTAAAGGGCATCTAATCAGCTTGTTGGATATCCTGTCTTGAACTACCATCACTGGCCACTACATGATTTGCCCAAGTTGAAGGTGGGCCATGGAAACCATAACAAAAGTTAATGGTGTGCCTTTCCATACCACAATGAGTACACCTCCTTGGACCATTACCGCATCCTCTACCATGAGCTCCCCCTGAATCCCGGCCTCCAACACGTCCACCATTACGACTATACATGGGTCCACCACCACCACAACCATACATGAATCCATCCACTACTACCACTACGGCCAGGCTGAACTCCCGTATCTGAATTCGTCCCCCTTTTTTTCGTATATCAAGCTTCTAAATCACTTTTCACCACACTCCACACTAGTGGAACCACCTACAGTCACAACATTTTTTTCCAGCAATACCACTCACTGATTTCTTCACTTTCAACACCACAACACATTGCACACTAGTGGAACCACCTATAGTCACAATTTTCAGCAATGCCTGTTGCTGATTTCTTTACTTTCAGCACCAGACAACTACCTGAATACACATCATTGTCACGGGGGTAGTCTTACAGCGGAAGAAACCCGTGCGGCGTCCAGGCCAAGGCAGGCCAGGACAAGCCTGATGTGTGCTTGGGGCTAGGAGTTGCTCGATGAGATGGCTCCACTGAGTTCATTAGCACTAGATCATGACCTCAGTTCGCATGGTCGGGGCTCTCTTCTGGCTCTAGCCGGTCCATGGGAGGCGCCTCTTACGTGCTAAAGGGGGACAGCCATGATGAGAGGCGACTGGGCGCCGATGAGAGGGACTCCTATATGCCGATGATGTAGGCACCAGATGTGCCGATGGTGCTAGGCAACCGCTGGGCCGAAACACACCCGTGCGCTAAGGGCAATGAGATAGCTCGATCAGCTTGGGCAAGGGGCTGGCGAGGTGTAGGGACATGCTTAAGCCAGACCCACAGGCCAAGCCTCCCTTCAGTGAGCGGAGGCACAGTGCCAGTCTATGCACTGTCCCCATGAGCATGTGTGCGCCCATGACGAACCCTGATAGCCATGCTAGCCATTAACCAGGGCCGACCCACAAGGAATGTTGGTCTAGGAGTGCCAAGGTCAGGCACCCAAGGAGGTTGACCACCCCTCCTCAAAGAATGCGTTAAGCTTTTGGTGATCTGCCTAAAGAAGACGTGAGTTTCCCCAATAATCTTACTGGAAAAAATGACAATGATGTCCCTTAACGTAAGCCCGCCAAGCGTAGGCAAGGCTAAGTCTGTGTTAGACCGTGACATCATAGCACTAGCAACTCACCAATCCACACTGAAACACACATATGTCCCACCTATTTGATCACCAAAAAAACAGCCTAACACTCAGCTGTTCACTGCACCACCTGAAACAGCCCCCTTTGTACCATCGATTAGAGGGTTTCCTACAAACACCCACTAAACTACTGACAGGAGGCATGAAAACCTCCAAAAGGAAAGGGTGATCACTCCTTTTCAGCCATTTTTCCTATCTCCAACTGATAATAAGGAAAACTGTAAAACCCTAGGCTGAATGGCAAGAGAACAGAATTCTGGGCAGATGTAGCTCTGATGCCATGATAAAGTTCAGACCTGCACTAGAATTCTGTTAAAATTAGAGGAAGATTAGAGGAGATAGAGGAGATAAGAAGAGAAGGGAAGAAGAGAAGAAAAGAAAGGTGAAGAAAACTGGTTTGAACAAGGGAGAAAAATACCTCTCTCTAGTCGGCCAGGTTATATTTATGTTTCTATTAGAATAAAACATGAGGACTATTATGTCCCTACTTAAGTATGGGACACATCACTTAACATAAACATTACACATCAGCTTAAATATAAATAGAAGGACTAAACTACCCCTATACAGTCGACACTAACATGGAGTGTGATGTGGAACCAATTATGGCCCTCCACATCGTATTTACTCCATGCCATCTCTTGTGTGCAAGTTCCCAAGTGTGACAAACACCTGATGGGAGATGTATTCAAAAATTTTTTTTCTTTTTAAATTCTTTATTCTTTTATTTCTTTCATTTTGTTATTTTTTTTTCCTGTGAATGACTCATTCCACCATGTTCTCTTGGCCGCCATTAATGGATGTTTAATAAGTGTTGCTCCATTATATTTTGAAATACGTCTTAATAGAGTGTGGCTACTGTGTGCTCAAGAAAGGAGAGAAGAGGATAATGGTGGACATTGAGGGTTATTGGTGGGGGAGACTCCTGATGTGACTTGTGACTGGGACAGAGAGGTAGAGACGAAAGCAAAAGGAAAGAGGGGAGAAGAAGGGATAAGGTTTACAAAGAAAGAAAATAAGAATTTAGAAATTAAAAAAAAAGGAAAACAAAAAAGGATTTTCAATAATATCCTGTCAATTGTCATTAAGGAGAACTCACACATGGAAGATGACATGAACATGTAAATATAACGTGGAATCCTGTAATTGGTTCCACAACCCGCTCCACAGCTATCTGCAGCTAATCCGAATCTGATATAATTGTCTTGATATATACTACTAGACTTTTACTATTTCTCAATACAAAATAGTATGAAATAGAAATATGATGATGATGTATGTCAGCATGGATCATATTCAATATATTATAGGGCTTATTTATCAAAAAACACTGCCTAACCAGCACCCACTTAAAGTGCTTAGGTAACAAAGTGTTACCTTGTCACCTGGTCTTGCCTTGCCACCTTGAGAACTATTATTTTGTGCTACCATTTTCTTTGTTTTTCATTCCCAAATGGATCATACTGCAATGTTGTGGCCCCAAACAGTCATTGTTTCAAATTGTACTATTGTATGTTCAAATGGTTAAATTGGACCAGTGGGTACAACTCCTAATAGAAGACCTAATGCCCTATTATATGTTCATTAGATTTACTGAGTCCTATTCAACATCTATTGCCCTACAATCCTGCCTAAAGATCTTTCAGTCACATTATAAGCATAATGGTATAAAAATGCCCCGCATAGAAAAGTCTAATCACAGATGATAAGCTTACAAGGTACAAGAGTGGTTTTAAATGAGCACAAGTAAATAGAATTTCCAACATTCAAAGACTTGGAAGCTTGTACAAATGCTTATGGCTTCTCAATGGATTGGGTTATGGTTAGGAAAGGATTCAGCACCTTGAAAAGAAGGGATTTTATGTTTAAATGGATTATTTCTTTAGGTAAAGGGGGTAGTGCAATTTGAAGTCTATATTTGGAGGTTTTGTTGCCTCTTTCTTTATATTAATAAAATTATTTGACTGCTCATAAAAAAAGATATCAATGGTATGGAAAATAAAATTAGTATCATCATGATCATAAGGGTTTTCAATGCTAGCTGCCAACCTGATACAACCCTCCTTTATCTGTGCTCGGGACCAGCTGTCAACTTGACACAGCCCAAATTTTTGGAATGTATAACCCTAATATCCTAAATTTATAACTCATGGTTTCATAGATCTAACCTAATGTCTTTACATTTACCTAAAATTTATCCAAGTGTAAACTAAATTACTTAGAGGTGATGGAATAATGTACAAAAGCTGAGTTGAATATAGTGGTTCTTAGAATCTAATATTTTGATGACTTGACTAGCTTCATGCATCATGGCTTCATAGACCTAATGTAATGTTTACTTAGAGGTGAAATAAATAATGTACAATAACTGATTTGAATATATTTGTCCTAGGATCTGATGTTTTGATGACTAGCTTCATTTCTTAAATTACAGATGATATTATTGAAGGTTAATGAAAAGTATTTTAGTTACCTTTCACATTGACAGCCATTGGACAGAAGAATTCAATCTTGTCATTCTGTTCTGCAGGAAATGCCTAGAAGGATGTAGTGAAGCAAAGGCTTCATATTGGTTAGAATTTAGAAATGATTGGTCCAGTTACTCTGGCTTTTGTAATGCTACTCTGTTAAAATGAACTTTTGGATGACTTATTGCAGTGATCCTGGAGTAGACTCTTCAATCAGTCTTGAGGAAATTGTTGATACTTTTGGTGATAAAACTATTGGGAAGACAAGTTTACCAAGTGAGAGAAAGGAAAGCATTGATAATGGAAAAATTCCTTCTTCTGCAGGTATTATTTCTAGCATTACTTGTTTATAGTAATTTAACATTACACTTTGAGCTTTTATCAAAAAAAAAAAAACATTACACTTTGAGCTTGCCTTGTGCATCTTACATAAGAGAGACATACTGTTATCCAATCAAGGATAGGTTCTTCCATGAGAAAGAAGAATTTCTCATTGATGGATTGATGTAGGACATGGAGAAAGTCTCACTATGGTGAATGTGGTGGGAAGAAGAGGTTGAATTAAGGATCTGAATTATAAGAGAAAGATTCAGATTTGAATAGAAAATAGCAAGAGAATAAAAGGTGTGCTCTTAGAAGGAGAGAGAAAAGGTAGAGAAAGATACACTCTCACCTCTAGACCAAGGTTTAAAATATCAATACGCCGATAGAGGCGTATCGGGCAGTATCAATAGCTTTTTTTTTAGTTTTCTTTCCAAATCTGGTTCAGAGTGGCCAGTTTAAGGTCCGTCCACCCCATGAACTGGCTGGAACCCTGAAACACCCCCTATAGGGGCATATCGGGAAGCCCTTGATATGATACGTATCGGCCTATACGGCCCTATACGTATCAGAATTTTGAACATTGCTATAGACAACCTCAAATAAACTTTTCGTGATATTAAACATGAGGGCTTAGATCTTCATGTATAGACTCCAATTTTGATTAGGAAATAAACCTAAAACAAATTTTAACTATAAAACTTAGGCAACCCTATAGGGAACCAACCCATTGGAACCAAGGATCAAAGTATTGGTATCTAGGGGTGTAAACAGATCAAATTTGAATTGAATAAGGCAATATCCAAATTTGATTCAATATCCGATGGATATTGAAAATTAATATTCGAATTCAAATTAGATTAAATATTTGATTTAATTTAAATTCAACCAATTAATTATTTTTGGTAATTAATAAATATATAAATAAATATTTTATTTATATAAAGTATATCAATATATAAATTATTTATATAATTTAATTATTATATATATTTATTATATATAAACACTTAAATACTTTATATATTATATATAAGAATTAAATAATTGGTCGAATTCGGATATTTCTCAATCAAATCAGGTCACATCCAAATTCGACCGATTACGATATTCAAATTATCCAAATTCGATTTGCTTATGTCGAATCTTGAATTTGAAATCGGATTTTCGAATATCGTCGACACCCCTATCGGTATCAAGTATTGTATTGGACAACTCGAATACAGATACAGATATGCTTTGGAAATGCATGGTTACAGACAAAAAATATAGAAACGCTTCGATACGCTAGGGAAACACATACAAATTCCATAAATATATTAATAACACTAAATTTAAAATCAAATAGCCTGAAATAATGTATAAATACATAGGAAATGGATATTTTAATGGTATATGTGAAAAAATATATTACAATTAATATAGTGTGATGCATAAATATCATATAATTTTAATGATAATGCATGAATGAAGAGTCCAAGACACATAACATATGCACATATTATATTGTAATTATTTTCTATTTTACTATTTTTTTGCTTTTTTACATTAACAAAAAAATTCAACCAAATATTAAATTCTCAAATGTAAATTAAAATATCAATTAATAATTTATAAATATATATATATATATATTCAATTCAAAATATATGAAGTCTGTTAGAATTTCTAAGATACATATATACACAAATTTTTAATTACTAATATAATTATGAGATTATTAATATTTTTGTTTCTATAGTTTTTCTAAAATTAAAAACCATTTTTGGTAAAAATGTTAATTAGTAGAGTTGATAGATTCTATCTATTATATATACTAAAACGGGAAGGGTTGGGGTCTGGGCAACATGGTCATTTTTACGTGTAGGAAATGGTATTCGCATGTAAATTTGATTCAACCGTGCTAATTTTGCTCAAATGAAGGTCCATTTCATCTTTCACTTCTCCTTTAAACAATCTAATTAAAATGAAGGTCCATTCTGAAATATTTTGTAAACATTTTTTATTTTTGTAATATTTAATATGTTGTTTTTTAATGTAATGTAAATTAAAATATTAATTAATATACATATATATATATTAAGTATTAAAATAATTATTCTATTACTAATATTTTAGTTGCATAAATTTCTTGAGATTAAAATCGTCTTTTGATTTTAATGTGGATTTGATAGATAATTTTTTCAATTAGTTTATAAAATATGAATTTTGAATATTATTCTTTTTAATTTTTAGTTGGAATTGTTAAATATAAATATGAATTATTTATTTGGATTACATGTATGTAGATACTATATCTAATAAAAGTTATTTCATTTCAATTATTGACACAAGGATTAAGTTGGTCTAATGGTTTAGGAGTTGATTTGAAATATAGGTATTGGGCGTGTTCGGAGACTCAGGTTCGAATCACTCAAATGTCTAACTTCAGTTTTTAATAAAAAGGCATGGTGTATCGGTCCGCTGTGTCGACCCGATACACCTTGATATGCACTAAATACGCATTATTAATCTTTCAAAGCTAAATTATTGTAAAGATACGTAAAATTACTAAAAATAGCAAACACCCATTTCTTTTGATTTGTCATGTCGATTTTTTCATTGTAACAGGGGCAAAGGTATTGCTGAGATATTTGAACCTGAAAAAAAAAATTCTACTCATTTTACATTGAAACTGGAGCCTGAAGTGGTTAAATACTCTTCAGGTTTTCAATTAATTTAATATAACTTCTGTTTGCTTTTAAGAGAAAAAATAAAGGTGCAAACTAATAATGGTCTATTGAATCCCCCCACTAAAAAACATGATGAAAAAATGAAATAAAACAATCACATTTGTGATTCCATTAAAACCAAACATCTTTTCAATATTAGGTATTATAGAGCACTCATGTATCAGAGAGGCAACATGGCATCAGAACTTGCAGAGTTACTTGGTATTTCTGATGTAATAGGATAGAGGTTCTCCAATGCTTTTCTTTTTAGTATGTTTATATGAACTATGCCATTTGATTATTGGGCCAGGGAAAAGAAAGAAGGGTCAGAAACTACTAGTTTCAGCTGATACACCGGCATCAAGAGTAATTGATGCAAATGAGAATGCTGTAAGCTGTCCTATTACCTCTTTTAACGTATATTTTGGTTATTAACACTTTATCTTCTCTAGTCCTATTTGCTTATCTGGTCCTACTTGCAGATTGCTCGGAGGACACGTAGCCGGAAAGTTTGAGTAATATTTAGGTCTTTCTTTTTCTTCGCTTCATTTTTCTTTTCCATGGCCAACTAGTATTGAATTTTGAAACAGCTCCCTTACATAAATAGAACAATTTTCCTTCTGACCTGCCTCTGTAAATTTCTTTATATGTTTTTCTTTTTTTATGTTGTTATCTGCTGTATTTCTGTAGTTTCCTGAGGTGGAGGATATTGTAAATAAATGTTTTTTTTTTATATAGAAGCTGGTTCCTGTAAAGTTCTTATTAGCTTTTACATTAAATTACATTATTTAATGGTGCGTTGTCATATCCTTTTATTTATGGGTTTTCATCCGAAATTCCTTCACTTTTTTGGGATTCTCCGAGTTATACCTCCTGTCTCCAAACACCTCCCCCCCCCCCCTCCCCCTTGTCAGATTCTCCGAGTTATTTCTATTTCATTTGTTGAACAAATGAGAAGGTAAACGGAAATGGAGTCATAATTTTAACATAGAAAAATTAGTAAGGTTGACTGGTGTCAGGGTTAACTTTGTCATTAAATAAAATATTAATGATGCATGTGAACCACTTCGGTCATGATCATTAACAGTGACCCAAGGGATGGTATAGGAATGGCAACGGGTAGGGTATCCATGCAAATTGCTCTACCCATTTCTGAATTTGTCTATGTATTCCTGATTCTAAATCCTTCAAACTTTTTCTTTCAATATCTCAAACCTGCCTATCTCAAACCCATTAAACCCATCCCAACCCGTTTCACCCGTTAAACTCTTTGACCAAATGTTTTTTACTAAAAAACAATTTCTTAATGCTTAGTGCGACTTGAACCCAGATCGATTAATAGTAGTGCCAAATCTCTTGCCTTGTGTTATTTATTAAAGTAAAATAGATTTTATTTACTTTTGTGTTCATCAAAACAATCAATACATGTATATGAGTAACAATTCCAACTAAAAATTAAAAGAAATAATATTTAAATTAGCATTTTATAACTAAATGAAATAAACAATCTATCATATCCAAATTTACATCAAATGATGATTTTAATCCCAAGAAATTTATACAAATAAAATATTAATAATAGAAAAATTATCTTAGTACTTAAAATTTATAAATTTGTGATGATATGTAATATAATAGATTCATATTTATGCATCCTGGGTATCAGGTAGTAGATACCCTAAAATCAAAATTCCAACCCATCCCAAACCCTATAGGGTTTTGATAAATGGGTCCTATTAGGGACGGTCCCTACCTGGAGCTGGAGATATTGAAAAAGTAGAAAGATCAAGAAAATCCCAGAAAAGTAGGGGAGTTCTAAGATTCGAAAAAAAAAAAAAAAAAATTAATTTTGATGAGCAAAGCAAACTTTCCATTACTTACCTAACAAACCTGTCCTTTATCTTTTTGGTGCATCATCTATCCATAATGATTCAGACACCAGATTTAGCTTTTTGGGCAACCAAGGGAGTGTTGGGCAATGTTTATGATTTTTTCTCTAAACAAACATCTGCTACATCAGCAACTGATTTGGCAATTGACTCACTTGAACCAACATAGGTTCATTTTGGGTAGCTTTTCATGATCCAAGCCTCCAAGGTGACCTACTTGATCCAGTCAACGGGTCACGGGTTACAAGTTATAATTCATGTCTGGATTCATGACTGGGTAACGGCTTACTGGTCTACTCAGTCGGTTCAATAACAGTTTGCAAACCATGTGTTAGACTAGTAAACCCAAAAACTCAAAAGATCCTAAAAACACATCAATTACATTGAATCCAAGCTTAAATTAGTGCAAGTTATCACTTATTCACTTAATTGTTTTCTTTATAAATCCTATTGGCATATAAAAATTACTAATTCTAATGGAGTCTAGCAACAGACTGACATCATTTGCGCAAGCATGCAACCATTCGTGCGTGTGACCTTTTCGGCTTCTTCCTTTTCTGCACATGAAAAAAAAGTTAAAATGAATTCAATCTTGTCTCCTTCAAGACAAGCCTTACGCCACTTTACCTATTTTCTCTGGCCAGATTTTTCCCCTCCTAAAGGCTGTGTTTGAAAACAATGCAAATAGAGTGTAAATCCTGGTTCAGGGTAAATTTGCACTCAGGTTCACTTTTGCCTGTGTTTGGCAACATTGCATTTATGCATTGACAAATAATAGACCGATACATATTTACATTGATAATAAGATGTAAAAGTACATCAATAAAAAAGAAGTAAATTTGCATTCAAGTGGACTTTTGATATATATATATATATATATATATACAGCTAAAAGTCTGTTTGATAAGGTAAATTTGTCAGTGCAAAACTAATTCAATTTTGTAATTTATATGAACTGTTTTACACTCTACATATTTGCATCATTTCCAAATGCAGCCAAAAAAGTAAAAGTATTGAGTATAGTTTGGGAAGAGTGCAAATGCAAATATGTAGAGTATATTCTGGTATATACAAATGTAAAGTTGTTTTAGCTTTGCAGTGATAAATCTACTTTCTTGCCAAACAAGTTTTAGTTGTAATGGATGCAAACATGAATCCTAAAGCAGAAATATGCCTTTTTTAACATTTGATGAACATTGAACAAATGTACATTGATTTTTTTATGTAAAATTCCTTCTCATTTTGGATGCATATATGCCATAAAAACTTACCAAATACTAGCAAAATTGAACCAGATTGCATATATGCACTGAACTGGCATTTTCACTCTTCCCAAATGGAGCTTATGACAATGGTCATAAATTCCATGACTACTGCTAAAGTAGTTTATTGGCAGCACACGTTAATGAACTTCCATCCAAACATTTTGACAGTTTTTTATAGGTTATGGTGGTTTGGACCAGTGTTCCAATACTCAGATCAGGCCAGATAGTTGGACCATGCAAACTATGAACCGGTGCCCTTTTTTATTCTCGGTTAAATGACTGTTTTCACAAGTTAATGGACTAACTTCCCGATTAATTGGAAAAACCGTAACCAATGGAGAATTCCATTTTTTGTCCGGTCCAAGTCTTACAACATTGTTTTGGATCGTTGACATATATCCAATTACACCAGCGGTTCAAACTTGTTAAATCTACATGTTTTATTGGAAAAATCTGAAAATTATAAAAATAATAACTTGTTTTAAATGATTTTCATTGTAGGAAATAAGTATACAATGGGTTTATCAGTAATCTATTAAACTAATTGCTAAAATAATAATTTATGCCACCAAATTGAATTTTTTCTTAAATTTAGGTAAATTCTAAAAATAATAATTTATTTTATATATTTTTAATGATTTTTATAATAAGAAAAAATTATAACATGATCTGTCAATGATATATCAACCTCGTTGATCTAACAACAATTTATGTCTCTTTGTAATAAATATTTAGTAAATTGAAATGAAGATACAGTATTCATGTAACCGACCCCATATACTAGGGGCAAGGCTAAGATAACACATGCTTAGGCTCCTATTTCAGGTATCTCTCCGCATGTCAGTATATATGGAGTAACTCATTTGTCAAGCATAGCTAGGGATGACAACGGGATGGGTTCATGGAGAGTTCTGTAAATTTTAGATCCTACTCGTCTCTCTAAACCTTCCAACCTGTACCTACCCCAAAACCCATAGCAAGTTGGATTTTGAAAATCCAAATCCTTCCAACCCTATTCTTCCTGCATTCAAGGGTAAGGGTGGGTTGGGTTTAGAACCCACATCTAATTTCTCATTATTTCTTTTTATATATAGGCAATAAATAAATAAAATAACACAAACAAACAACAAATTTTCCAATTAAGACATGTAAAAAATACATTAACTATTAATTAGCATTCACATAAAACTGAAAATATTATTAAATTCAACACTTAATACATAAAATTTAAGAAAAATTATAGATTAATACCATGTATTTTGGGCCTAGTGTCACCTTGGTCCCCAAACATTAAAATGTGTCAATCTAGTAAATTTCCAAAATATGCCAATTTAACACCTGTGTTAGTAGTTCATCAATCATCAGATATATGTATCAGGTGAGGACATTTGCAGTTTAAAATTTTTAAAATATCAAAACTGCCCTTCAAAAAACATTGTTCATCATCTTCTACCTTGAGACTCGAATGACACATTTCATCACATGGGCCCACTGATATGTGCGATTTTATTTTAATCAAAGAAGGATCGAGGAATGTAGATTTCGCCGGGGGAATTGTTGTCTTCCCAAAAACCGGCGTCCATGGTCCAAAGCCGGCATCCCATTGCGTTGTCATACAATGTGCCATAAGCAACACAAGAACAGTTGCTCCAACACAGCTCGTCACAGTCAACCAGTCCCATACTTGTATTTTCCACGTATCCGCTCACACACCCCCTGTTCTGTCGCCGCTTCTGCACTCCACCACCGTCTGGTTCACACACCTCATCAGTTTAGCCTTGTTGCCGCAGGAGCTATGGGGTGGACACTAAATTCTTAAGCTGAGATACTTATCATCCAATTCTTAGGATTTACACCGAGTAACCCATAACCAGCTCTGGCATGATTTGTCTTTACCTGTTAATCTGGATAATCAAACTGGTTATTCCACTTACTGGAATTACATTTCTGTTCTCCGTTTTATGTTTAGGAAAACACTGAAGATGATTTCATCAGAAAATTACATAATACTTACAGAAAAAGAATTTTTTTCTACAATTCTAAGATTGACTTATTATTTGATTAAACATGTTTTATGCAATTTACGAAATTGAAACCATCTCTGCAATGTGCAAACAAGACACCAATTTAAGCTCATTTCCAACCAGTATTTCAACTTTGAAGACATGGGCCTCCGGGGTCTCCTTCCAATGGATACGGGCATTGACGAAGACTCTGTCTCGTCTGAGAGTTGAGGGAAGCAGAGAGCACTGGTTGAGGGGAAGTTCTTGAACGGATCCCAAACGTCCAGAGAGAAGGGATCGAAGACATTGCTTCTTCTGCCACCGAAGACATCTTTCTTTTTTATTCCTGCTTGAAACTCCGAATAAAACTGAAGATCGAGGGCATCTTAGTGCAGATAAAGAACCCTTCTCTATAGTTTTGGTTCATTCTCAGATGGCTGATAAAGAAAATTAGATGACACTTAAAAGAACATTTCTATCCTTTCACATTCACATGTTACTTAATGGTGATTAACAGTTTTGTACTAAATTGACACATTTGGAAGTTAAAGTAATGGATTGAGGACAAAAGTGACACTCCCAAACTACAAAGTATTAATCTGAAATTTTCTGTAAAGTTTATATGCTTTTCAACAATATGCGAGTTTTTTTTTCTTTTTTTTTTTTGCAGGAAAATATTCATGTTCTAATATCAATTCAAAGCTACATCATAATGATCTAGAACATGGTGTCTTTTTTATTCACCATGAAAACAAGCTTTGTGCGCTAAGAGGTGAGCTAATTTGTTTTTTGTACGGGGGATATACATAAATTCTATTGTCTGAAAGTGCTGGGTCTTGGCTTGAGTGGTACCCCAGTGAAGTTGATCCACCCATGAGCAATCAAGGGAATGGTTCTTGAGTTTTTTGACCAGTCCTTTAGTATCTAAGTAGACCAGTAAATGATTGCAATTGTGACGGATTGCTGATTCCAAAACTTGAATTAAAGCTCTAATTTCTGCATCATTGCTCCCATTTGCTTTGCATGTTATTCCTTGCGCTTCTAGGATTGTTTTTTATTCTGAATTCTTGACTACATATTCAATTCTTGCCTGACTTGTTTTTTCATCAAATGAATCGTCTATGAACAAGGTAAATGAGGGAGTGACTGGATTCGACCTTGTGACAAGGTGTTTATTCTCTTTTTTTGTAGTTTCTGAGAATTCTTAAAGGATGTTGCAAGCTGATTCAATGATTTTCAAGGGGTGAATTTTTTTCTTTTGGTTCCATGCTTCCCATAACTTGTATAGTATCACCTAAAATTTGGAGAGCATGTAGCTTTTCTCCATTTTGGAGAGATGTCCTAGTAATGAGTAGAACTATTCTGTAAGGTACTGATGAAATGGTTTGTCTCTAGTGTGTTCTAGGTTTACTCCTATTTGAGCATGGCACCAAATTGCTCTAGCTAGAGGGTAGTGAAAAAACAAATGGTGAAAAGATTCAATTTCTTGTGAACATATAGCACATAGTATGTCTTGCTCTTAGAACCAGGCCTTGCATTTTTCTTTTGTTTTGGTACCCCTACGTATTGCCTTCCACATGAAAACTTGGGATCTGTATGGGAATTTTTATTTCCATAATAGCTTCCAATCAAATACTTGATTTGAAGACGAGGTGGAGGCTTGTGAGAAGGATATGTATGCTGATTTGACAGTGTATCTACCTGAGTTGTTCATTTTCCAAACAAGGGTATTTGCTTCTAGTTGTGAGTTTACCCTTATTTCAATTATATGGTTGATCGAATATGCTATAAAGTGTTGTTGGAGAGCTTGTAGATTCCATGATCCATTTGAAAGTAGCAAATCAAAAAATCTTAAGTGAGTTCGATCTTACAAACCATTATTTGATAGTTGGGGAATCCCTCCAGGTAGTGTTGGAATCCATGGATCATGCAATGCATCAATACTTAATCCATCCTTGATCAGCCAGATCACTTCCGCTTTGAGTTGTTTTATGATTTTAACTACATGTTTCCACTAGAGAGAATCATGGGCCTTTGGTTCAATCTAAAATGGGATGTGGTTTCTGATATATCTTGCTTTGATGTTTTTGGCTAGGAGTGTGTTGGGGTTGGTGAATATGCGAGTTGGGAAGAATAGGGTTTATCCTAATACTATAATTCATCTCAATGGGACAACAGTTGGAACTTAAACTTGGACCCATCAAATGATTTGTCTGAATTTATGACCCTAACATAAAGATGGCTTTTAATGGTCCTCAATTAGTCAGTTGTCAGTTCTCAACAAGTTTTTTAAAACAGTTGACCAAGTGCTTAAAAACGGTTGAGTCAGGTCCTAATTGATTCATGACAAAACCAGTGTTTTATTTTAGGGTAAAATACAAAAACCTCCCTTAAAGTTTCTAACAATCATAAAAACTTCTATAGTTTCGCTTTAACAAAAATCTCTTTTGAACTTTTAAAGAATTTGACAAAAACCTTCCATCCATTATTGATCCAAACAAAAAACGTTAAACTGATACATAAATTTTTACAAAATACCCATTTTACCCTTTTATAAAATAACTCATATTCAAGGTGTCCAAATGAAAATTTTTGCCATATCAGCCACTATGAGCCGCTTGTGAATTTCGCCCCTTAAGTATCCAACTCCGCTAAGATTTCAAAAGCAGCTTTCTTCTCCTCTTCTCTACTTCCTAGAAGTCTCTTGCTTTTATAAAAACTTGAAAGCATTTCGCTATCCTTGTGAGCTTCATCGCATTTTGGATTACATTTGCTCGTAGCTAGAACTAGAAGTCGGCTGATAGGCTCCAATTAATAACTAGATTCGTATACAAATCTGTAATAATAACCATTTCTGCTTATCTATAATTCAGATCTTCATAACAGTGTTGCCATTTCAAGCTCTCTTGACCATGCCATGCTGGTACCTTGAGAACTTTTATACAGGTTGAGGTTCGGGCTTTCCTTCCCATGAGATTCAATCAATGCAGAATTCTGAATTACAACCCCCCGTTAGCACTTATGCTCTCATTCATTTATTTCACCGTTAAATCTCTATTCCATTTTCATTTTCACTCCTATTACTTTTGTAGTAAAGTAAAGATTTCCTTGATTCTCTTTCTTTATATAAATTAACACTTTTTAGTAAAATAAAGATTTCCTTGGTTCTCTTCCATTATCTTCGTCTTACATCAATCCAAATTTTCTTTCAGGATCCATCTTTTTTCCCTTAATTTTCATCCCAAGAAAATTGCAAAAAGAAAACTCCAATTCGCCAGCAAGAATCATTTATTTCATTCGATTATCAAGGTATCATTCTTTGTTTTTTTTTTTTTTTCTTTATTTCCTTTTGCTTGATTTAAAACCATTGGGAAGACTTGTGACACCAGAAATAAGAAAAGGAAAGAAAAGAGAGAGAAAGAAAGAGAGAAAAAGAGAGAGAAAACTATATAATGAAATGGCAGAAATATTACAGGGCAAATGCTATTGTTATTATTATTATTAATTGGATTCACATGGCAATTCACGTGGGTTCTCAGTTGTCATGATGTGGCATTTTTTCATTGAAATGTATAGTATAACATATGAAAAGCATTATATATATGTATGAGTGAAGTGAGGATTAAAATTGTCATTTGTGTCAATATAAGCACTTATAGAAAAAATAACTTAACAAACATCCCAACTTCAATAAGTGCTTAAAAGCATAATAAGTGATTTAAGAAGTGGGTCACCAAAAAGCCTTAAGTGACTATTTTAACAACCACTTAATCATCAAACATGGTCTTGCTTAATTTAAAACCATTGGGAAGACTGTGACACCAAAAACAAGAAAAAGAAAGAAGAGAGAGAGAGAGACCTGTATAATGAAATGGCAGAAATATTGCAGGGCAAATGTAGTTGAGCGATGGATCTCTGACCAAGATGTAGTTGCAAAGAGATGCCAAGGGAGAAGCAAGAGAGGCTTTCAACGGGAAAGTCTTCCATAGTAACAGCAGCCTCATCTCAAGAAATTCCTTTAACAATTTGGGAATCCTATAACAGAGTACAAGGAGTATTGCAGAGACCAACAGCCATAGTAAGAAGAAGAAAAGTGAAATTTGTATTGGCCCCGCCCTAGTTGGATGGGTCCACCAAATCAATATGATGGAACATGTGCCTATTTATATATTGCCCTATGACGTTAATTTAGTACCCATTTTATTTTACAAAAGAGTAAAATGGGTATTTGAAAAAAAATTGCATCCGTTTAATATTTTCTGTCTAAGTTAATAATAAAAAGGGGTTTTTGTTGAATTCTTAAAAAATTTAGTAGAGGTTTTAGTTAAAATAAAATTATATAAGAGATTTTTATGATTGTCAAAAACTTGACAGAAGGTTTTTATATTTTACGTACCTTTATTTTATCTAAAAAACAGGGTTTACTTGAGTGAAGGTTCAATCGATTGGCCGGCTGACATCCAAAATAATTTGGTTTTGCATGCTATCTGCAGCAGGAATCAAACCCATGCTTCTTCCACCTTACCAAAAAATGGATCATCGTTACTTGATGCAACTTACTACAGAATTTTTTTCCCTAAATCAATCCAATATTTTACCCATTCTGCAATTTTTTTTGCCTTCTAAGCAACAATTTTCACTTGCAATCATTATAATTCGGAACCACAACAATAGAAAAGCAATCACTAAAATTAAATACAAAATGGTTTGACCAATCCAACTCTGGACAAACAAGGTTTGAAATTTTGGTCCAATTTCTGGCCCGGCCTTGCACAGTTGCACTTCATGAGCACCCCAATTGTCATCAGCTTTTCTTCACTCACACAATGAGAACCCGCATTGAACCTGAGCATAAAATGCAAAGCTTCTTACTGAACATTCCTAAATGAGGAAATCGTCTCAGAATCTTTGATGTATGTAGTTATGTACTGATTTTCCTTGCAGAGAGATGAAATGATGCATCATCTATAAGGAGCTACGTTTCACTCAATGACCAAAATACCCTTTCAAACTAGAAAGGAAAGATCACCAATTTTTAGGTTTGTTTTCATGGAGTGTTTGGAGCAATTAGCAAATCCCATTATTGATTAACTGGCGACTCAACTGTGGGCTTCTCCCTAATGAAAAAGAAAACAAATAATAGGGGTGTTTTTGTCCTTTTGAACAATGGTTTGGGGTGTAATCTCTTCATCTAAGAAACCCGGCCTTTTATCTATTTTTTACTGCATCAATGGCCAACTTGAAACCATGAAAATGGTTTTCGATCTCTAGCCATCCTTGTATTTTTTAATTAAGGATCTTTACCCTGGTAATTAATCTCCATATAGTTTGAGTGCTTTAATGCATTTTGTTTACTTCAAATAAATTCCAAACAACACTTTTATTTTCGTAGTTAATGGTCACGTATCTCGTCATGCAAACGGTTAAAAGTCCAAATTATTAATTCTTATCATTGCCATCTGGCAAACATCCCGTGAGTAATTTATAAAGGAATCAGCACACAACATCTATCTCATTCTGATTATCCCAATCCCAACTCTGCTTTCCTTTGCAAACGGTTAATGGCTGCTTCATCTCTTCTTCGTCTCTTCTCTTCTTCTGTTCTTCTTCTCCTCCTCCTCATCTCTCCCTCTCACTCCCTTCGCTCTTCCAAACCTCGTTCACTAGTCCTTCCAGTCAGAAAAGATGCCTGGACCTCACACTACCTCACCTACATTCACCAGAGAACTCCATCTGTTCCCGTAAAACTTGTCGTCGATCTCGGTGGCTCGTCCTTATGGGTCGACTGTGAGTCCAACTACGTTTCGTCCTCCTACTTCCCAGCTCGTTGCGGTTCAACCCAATGCTTGCTTGCTAATACTACCCGCTGCTACAGTTGCACCCGCGTCCCTGGTCCTGGTTGCAACGAAAACAGTTGCAATCACATACTGTACAACCCAATTTCTGGGGTGTTAACAGCTGGAGAGGTAGCCAGAGATGTCGTCACCCTCCAATCCACAGATGGCTTCAGCCCTGGACCCTCCACAGCTTTCCGCAGCTTTGCGTTCATATGCGCTCCAAGAGACATCTACGTCTTGAAAAACCTCGCCGGCGGTGCAAAAGGAATCGCAGGCCTTGGCTGGGCTCCTCTAGCTCTGCCATCCCAGTTGGGGTTCCACAGAAAATTTGCTCTTTGTCTATCGCCGTTGACGGAAGAGAATGGCGTCGTCATCTTCGGTGATGGGCCGTATGTGTCTGGGACGAAGCTCGTTTACACTCCTCTGATCACCAATTCTGTGAACAGAATGGGACCCTTTTTCAATGTCTGGGAACCATCCTCCGATTACTACATTGGAGTGACATCAATCCGAATCAATGGAAAGCCTGTGGCTCTGAACACATCGTTGCTTTCCATCGACAAAAAGGGTTTTGGGGGAACAAGGATCAGCACCGTTGTTCCCTACACCACTCTGGAGACCTCCATATATGAAGCTGTAACCGACGCTTTTCTCACTGAAGCTACTTCCACCGGATTCATCAGGGAGGCACCCGTTTCGCCTTTCGAGGTGTGCATCAGAGCAAATGTTCCAGGGATTGGACCTGATGATCATGTTCCTAAGCTTGATCTTGTCCTGCAGAGTGAGAGTGTGTACTGGAGGTTCGAACATCGGAACTCAATGGTGACGGTTGGAGATAGTGTGTTGTGTTTGGGAATGTTGGATGGAGGTTTGAAGCCTGAAACTTCCATTGTTATCGGCGGGCATCAGTTGGAGGACAACCTTCTGCAATTCGACCTCAGGGGCTCCAAGCTTGGGTTTAGCTCATTGCTCTCCTCTGCTGCTACGTGTTCTAGCTTCAACTTCACACGTAGTGCTGCTTGGCATTAACTTTAGGTCCTCATATTCTGTGACATGTTTCATTTATGTTTTCTGGTGTGCGTCATTGCTTGGTCATGTGAATTTCCACAGGACAAAACCCACATTTTTAAATGCTGTATGTGATTAGCTAGTTCTTCTAGTCAGCTGGTGTCATTTGCCAAGCTACATTCAATGTTGTATGAGTCAATAGTAGATATGGAACACCAAGATCTCTGGTAATTTATAGTTCTATATATGACCTATATAATTATAAACCTTAAACCTTCCATGAGTTTTCTCATAGTTATTAAAGCACCCCCCACCTTTCTGAAAAGACACCAAGTCACTAACCTCCCATGGCAAACACAAAAACCACCACCCTTCACTTATTACTCTTGTCTGTTTGTTGCCGTCAACATCTCATTACATATGACACTAAAATTCTTAAGTCAAAAGAAATAATCACTTAGGTTTAGCTTAAAAGATGAGGAAAACTAATCCTCCTAATCAAATATATCAGCCAATAACTTCTATGCATTGAAATTTTGTAAAAGAAGATATCCAACTTTGGATTACATGGCAACCTCTAACTGGGCCCAAATTTTAAGGTGGCATATCTAGAGGATAAGCTTTAGTACGATTATTTGTTTTGGTCTGCCATAAAACAAACCCATTAGAGTTACGCCAAAAATCAGGTGCTCATCCACGAGTTGGCATTTTTAGCATTACACCATATTCATATATCAAAACAAACATGTAAGGGTATTCTTGATATTTGATATTTTAATTTTAATTTTTTTTTTTATAAAACGTTTTTCTCAAGTCGAGTTCGAGTTTACGAACTTTTAACTCGAGCCGAACTCGAGCTCAAGCCTCATACTACTTTTTGGCGAATCGAACTTGAATACCTAGCTATTTGGTTTGGTTGGGCTCAAACCCACCCCTACTTGATTCTAGGTTTCTGCTACAAATTAGCTAGAGACCTTACCGCTCTTTGGTATCATTGGGATGATAAGGATTAAAACATTGGTTGGAACCTGAGTGTAGCCACTTTGTACATAACAAAATGCCAAAGGTTAAAGTGGTATCGAGCCTATCCCTCCCAAAACGGCAAGACCTAGATAGTTGGGGTAAAATGGCTTTTAAAGAAAATGATTTTCTTTTTTAAAATGGATACGGGCATCCCTCCCCATATCCCTAGACCACCCTAACCTAAGTGAAGGCAAGACTCGATCTCAGGTCTCTGTTAAAACCGGCTAGAATGCTAGAGACTTTGGCCCTATTTGGTACATCTTTTCATGCGGGCTGTTGGCTGTTTAGAAGCTCGGCAGCCCACGTTTTGGTCTTTTCCTGTTTGATTGGGAAAATATCTAACCGCCAAAAGCCACAGCCCTAAAAAGACGTCGGAAGCCCATTTCAGACTATTTTCAGGAAGTTCCAAATGGAGCTTTTTGCCTTTTTTTTTTAACTCGTCTTCGTGCGAAAAGACGCACGAATAGACCCGCCTTAACCAAACGGTCTTCAAGTTGCTAAGATCTGGATGCAAAAGCTCATATCATCTTTTAACTATCAGACCTTCCAGAAAATCTTTCAAAAAAGACTTGCTAAATGGCCCATTTATTAGTAGGCTAGTTAGCAACTTCACAATATGGTTAATTGCTAATTTTCTAGCATTATTATTGCCACCACCTACAGATTCATTTTAGTAGTCTTGAGTTCATCTATAAAGTTTATATAAAGCAAAGTATGCTACATCACATGATCTCTCTTTTCTCTAAAACCCTTTTTAATTTTCTTTTTTTTTTGAATTTTTTGTTTTTTCCCTCCTTTCCTCCTATCTATAACTCTTCCAACATGACCTATGTCCGCACATCCCCTATAAGACTGGGACTAGGGGTGATCATGGGTCAGGCCGGGCCAGGCTTTGCACTTATGATAAGGGCTATACATTAGGCCCGAGCCCGGCTCAACCCGGGGTTCCAGGCCTGAAACATAAGCCCTAACTCAGGTCCACACGGGCCCGAGCCGGGCCTGATTTTGGGCCAATGTCTTTCATATATAAAACATTACATACCTATAATATTTTATATTGAATGACATAGCATGCATATAAACTTATTTTATACATTATATAATATAAATTGTTACATATAATATAAATTATATATGTCATGTTATAATATTTATATATAAAATATATAATCTATTGTAAAATAACATGTATATATATATATACATTATACACAAAATGTGCAAGTTTAAATATATACGGGTCGGGCTGGACTTGAAGTATTAAACCCAAGCCCGGCCCTAAAATTTACGGGCCTGATATGGGTTCAAGCCTGGGCCAGGCCGGGCTGAAATGGTCACCCCTAACTGGGACCCGTCATAAGAAAACTGAGACCCACCATATATGAGATGTGCAAAAATTTGGAATGGTTTTTTGTCGGGAGATCCGGCCTCCGTTCCAAAAACCTCCCTCTACCTCAATATAAGGGAAAAAGTCAAGGGATGAATCCATGTTTATTGAAACATTTCACTCACAGGTTTGAAGAAGGAAAAAAACACATTCCACTCACAGGAATTGTTTGACGTTTGAATTTTAAAGGAAAAAAAAAACAGGTATGTTAAAGTTGCGGAAACCATCTCATTTCAAGTTTTTTACGCTTTGAAGTTTAATACTGAGCTTTCCATACAAGGATTACTATTCTCCATAAATGGTCCTCTCGCAAAGGTGCAAAACTAACAAAAAAAAGGAAAAGAAAAAAAGAAAAAAAGAAAACAGATGATTGTGTGATTCATGGGTGGAGTGTTGTTTAACCAACTATGGATGAATAAAAAAATGGTCGTAGAGTGAATGAGAAGAGCATCCGGTCAAATCCCATTCGAATGGTTAGCCTTGGGAACTGTTTAGCAGGTAGCCTTTCTAGTTTTGATATAGTCTAAGTTTTACAACATTGGGTAAAAGTACCAAATTCTGGTTTCTAATCAGTATACTAAATTTTCTCTTTAGCTATTAGAATCACTTCCATTGCTTCTTCTCATACAGCATAAATACTTCCACTTAATACAATGAAACTCATTTGAATGGTGCTGTAGTTTCAGGCACATTTCCTAAAATACTATTCAGTCAGTGTCTACATGCTATAATCGGGTTTACTACTAACATATATGCCTCATTCGTTTTTGGGTAAGTTATTTATTCGGATAAATGTAGTTACTTAGGTAAGTTTTTTTTTGGGAAACACTTAGCCAATTAAGTGTATTTATCCATGTTCTTTTATTTTCCAAGTAAAAAAGAAAATGACCATTTTAGCCATAAAAATCTATTATTAAATGGGGCATTTTTATCCCATTTAAGTGTTGAAATCTTTCCCCCCAACGGAAAAGTTATTTACCCACCTAAGAGATGGGTGTCACTTACCCGGGTAAATGGTACCTAGGAAAATAAACTTTCTCTCGTCCCCACATTAATATGAAAAAAGAACAAGGTACTATTGGTCAATGGGAACCAAAATCCCATTGACCAACTTTCCCCCTTCTCAAAATCCAAAAAAAGAACGCCCCCATAATTGTAGTGCAAATTCCAATTGTGATCTGTTCCTTGACATGATCCAAATAAAGCTGAGAAAAACCTAAAGCCAAAATTTCAAAGGAGAATGACTGGTCAGCCCAGGGGCAGAATTTGTAGATTCAAAGTATTATCGGGGTAGGTGCCAGTATGGAATTGATATCAATTCACAGGCGGACGTTGGTGCATAAAATGTGGGTTATGGTCCTTTTGAATGTTTATAACTCTGTAGTGTAAATCAAAAATCTGCATTGGACAAATCCATACTTCTCCGAAATTTCAATGGTCTATGGTGATAGCAGAGGGTGGACCCTTAATCTTAACACTAAGACAATCGCAATTGGGCCAGCTAGTTGCGATTGGATATCGCAATTGTAGAAAAGTGTCATCGCAAGTACGTAGAATTGCAAGTCACTTGGACATCTTAATGCACATTAGGTGGAATCGCATGTTACTTGGTCATGCGATAGGCTAATATCGTGGGTTGCATTGAATTGATCTCATAGATCGCAGTAGACTGGCATCATAGACTGATCTCACAAGTCTAGACTCATAGCGAGATCTCACAGGACTTAAAGATTTGCTTCTTAGGGCAGGTTGCATTGGGTTTATAGTCAACCAAGGCCCAACCCTAAAATGTAAGCCTAATCCCAGCCCAAAAGGTAAAAAAACAAAGCCTTGAATCCAAGCCCAACCAGAGCACCAAAATCAAGCCCAACCATATAAAATTTTGAGATGGGTCGATCTGGGCTTGGTGTGCTATGTTTTGCGTTTTCAGTACTTGCCAATCATTAACTTATTCTTGGGTCGAACAGAACCTCAACAATAACTCTGAGTTTTAATCCACCCATTTTTTATCACTCGTACTACATATGCGAGAACTTGATATCACTTATCCCATATATGGTACCTCCATAAGACCATAACAGATGGGTCGTTTAAGTCTGATAAATACCGGCTTAATATTAAATTTTAAAATAAACATTAGTTTTATAATTATTAAATCTAAAAATAGTTACAATAAAAGACCAATTTAAATTGTATTTAAAAATAATAAAACAATAAACAATAAAATTAATAAAATAGTTTTATTAACTTAATATCCATCTAAATTCCATTTAGAAATAATCAAATAATAAAAATAATGAGAATTAGTCTATTCATAAAACTAATTATTAATATTTGAACAAAAACAATTTAATTAATTTAAATCAGTAAAAATAAAAATATTAATAAAAGTAACAATTACAAATACAATAATAACTTTTATTAATTTCAAATTCATTTAAATACCACTTATAAAATAATAAAAATGGATTATACGATTTTATAATAATTATAATCAATTATCAAATCTTATAATAACTATCAAACTTTATTATTAATAAAAAGTTACAAATTAAAATACATTCAAGTTTCACTTAAAAATGATAAACAATTATAAATTATAAAAAAATAAAAATTAATACAAAAATGGTAAATAAATTATTAGTTTTAAAATTACTCGATTAATTTTAACTCCATTTGAATATCTTGGACTAATAACTAATTAATAGAATT